ACCGGGGATCTTCACCTAAAGTGTCGATTCTCGCGTCAAAAGGTAGTAATTGTTATGAGTGCGTGGTCCCGTAGCGATTTGAGCTGAGTAACCGGGCTCCTCCATCTACCAAATATTGGAGTTCGCGTCAAAAGGTTCTAATGGCTAGAAACTAAGTCTTTTGTTGTTAGTAAAAAAAAAAAAATAGCGAAGAAAAAAGTAAAGTAAAGATTGTGTTAGTATGTGAATAAGTCAGCTTGCCGGTTTGTGATTTTAATGTCGATATTTTAGTTAATAGTTGGACCATTTGCTAATAAATGTGAGCAACCATTCCTTTTTCTTAGATTAGTTTGCTTTAAATTGGAGGAGTTGGTGGTTGGGAAGCTAACCGGAGTGGTCTTTCTTGGATCTTAACTGTGATGCTTGATATATATTTTTCTGGGCATCTTGGCAATATGATAGTTAAAGCAATAGCCATTGTCGAATTTTTGGTGTTCAATTGCTGTTCTTATGCTTGAGGGCAAGCATGATTTAGGTGTGGGGGGAATTGATAGGGCATAATTTGTTGTTAATTTTATGATTAATTTCCCTCTTTGTCCTTGCCAAATATTGTTTTAATTGTTGAAATGTACTTATATTTGGTATTTGGCCCTAATTACAGGAAGTGGAGCAAACAAGTGCTAAAAAGGAGACTTTATTGAGAAAAACACTCCACACATGGGAAGTTCTAAAAGGAAATACAAGCTGGGCTCCACAGGATGCTACAAAAAGGGATTCCCTATCTTTATGCTGAAAATGGTGGACTTGTACTAGGAGTCTTACGAGTAAAGAGGAAACTAAAAACAAGGACTTTGGTAAAACTCCAATTCTTTGGCCCTTGGACTCTCAATTCAGTGGGGACCACTAGAGATAGCGTTAGACTTTCTTTTGGCTTTAAAAAGGGAGAAACGTACAGGAGGGAGGTTATCTTATCAATCAATAGTTTTAGTTTAGGCTTTTAGCATATTTTTAGTTTTTCTTTTCTTAGCTCTTTCGCATGGTTGTTCTCCATTAATGGAGGACTAACCTCTTAATTCTAGTCAAGGGGACAACTGAAGACTTGGTTCAACAATTACTGTGAGATCGAAATTATTTTAATCGCTTCCTCATTTATTGGTATTTATGTGTTTCCTGTTTTTAATTGTTATAGTCCTTATGTATGATTGATTAGTGCGCAATAATTAATTATTCATATAGGCTATTTTGCTAAATAGGGGTAATTGAATCCGTAATTGTTCGTTATCTCTACCTCAGTAGCAACTGGCATAATTGGGTTTATGTCAGGGGAGCATATGATCTAGCTTAAACAAACCCTCGTAGCGTGTTTGTTGGTTAGGATTGGGTCTTTCTAATTATTAATGCAATCTAGGAATTAAATCCTACGGTCGTACCTAGGGTTATTTTTGGGTTAGAGAAATAGCTAACGGTCGTACCTTAGTTATCGATAAATTAAGGAAGGGTTGGTTGTTTATCGCGTGCATGACAACTATAACTAATCTATTACTAAATGTTGGAATTATTTCTGCATCAATGATCAGTGCCTGAACCATTTCTGAAGTGTACCCTTGGTTAGAGTTTTCCCTTAATTATTTCTCTTAATCAATTATTTCCTGCAGTTAATTTATTTAGTTAGTATTTAATCCAAAAAATCCCCCATACTTTGGACTCTAGAAGAAACGAATTATCCCCAGTCCCTGTGGATTCGACCCTACTCACCGCTATATACAAAATCTGTATTTTTCTCGAGTAGGTATTTATTATTGCACAGGTTCGGCACCTGTCAGAAATGCAAAATAAATAAGAACGAGAGCAAGGGAGAGAAAGAGAGGAAGAGAAAGGGAACGGAGAGAGTTTGTGGAGAAGAGGTGTATCTAACCCTAGAGGAATGGAGAAAGAAAATAGAGAAGAAAAGGAAGAGGGGAAGAGGAGAAGATGAGAAAGCGGCGGCGGAGGAAATTTACGAAAACCCTAGAGACGAAGTATATGCAGACGTCTGGCACATCGCGCGGAAAAAAAAAAGCTGGTGACTCACATGTGCGGCACGTGAGAGGACGACGAAAACATCCACGTCAGAAGAGCTCTTCGGCTCTTATTCTACTTATGTTGAAAAGAGACTGGTAACATGTGAAGCCAAGGAAGGCTAACAGGTACAGGGACATTTCATCCAAATGCCTAACAAAATCTTGTCCACTTCAGTCCAGAGAGTTTGGTCAAACTTTTATAGTCGTAGGTAATTGCAAAAATTTTGAAGTTAAAAGGTAGTTGTGAAGGTGCAAAGTGCGATCAGAGTATAATTGAGGAGAACAATGTGCAATTAATCCAAAATGAAAACAATGAGTCAGGTCCAACCCAATCAGTCAAAACTTTTCTCTATTTTCCTCGATTTAAAATAAGAGTAATATTCACTTTGCATTAATTTTTATTTTGGTCTCGGAATTTGGAAATAAGATGTTTTGGCCTTTAAAGTATAAATGTGTTACACTTTAATTCCTAAAGTATAAAATTGGTTTCATCTTAATCCTCTTAAATATAAAATCTATCCCACTATAGTCCATAAAATATAAAATTTGTTCCACTTAAATATAAAATTTGAGGTAAATCTTCCATACATTGTATCCTAGTGGAGTTTGATGCATTCCATACATGAAAAATTTGGAATTCAAAGTCAACTTCAGATCTGTTTGGATTGCTATTTTCTGGAATTTTGCATAAGTATATACTACAGCGATTTGATATATGTGAGGCAAAAAGGTGATTGAAAATTTTGTTCATAAAAAACGTAAAAATTTTTTTAGGGGAAAATGACTTTTCAAATAAAGTGGCATGCATGACCTATTCGTGTGTACACAAATAATGTAAGATCTTATCGAAAGAAAAAGACAATGTAAGAAAAATTAATCCATGAACTCTATTTCATTTCCCCCAATGATTTTACTTAAATAGGACAAACTTTTTTATATTTAAGGAACTAAGGCATCTCATTTCAAAGTATAGGGATGAAAGTGAAATTTCGGGTAAAATTAAATAATGTAAAGTGAAATTAACTCCTGAAACAATAAAAGATGGATTTCTCGGGGCACCAAAAATGAGGCCTCAACAACGGTCAATATGATCCATTGCCCCCACAAAAATTAAAAGCTATCCAAACACACTTTAATAATGTTATCCACACAGTATAGCAAACAACTGTATCCCAGCACTTGACCAGAAGACTCTCCTCGGGTTGACTAGTATACTCAAAATCTGATCATTCTCGGTATTCTTCTTAGGTAAGTATCTCCGATCGGTCAAAAACTTTTCTGTTTTTATGACAATAAGGGATCATTCATTTTTCTGAATTCTGATTATTGTGTTCCGCTTCTCTGTTACTGGTGAGTGTTATCCTAACAACTTCCCTTCCATTTTTTTTGCTACGCCGATCAGTCGAAAGGGGTTCATTTTTGCCTTTTGATTGCTCTGTTAGGTGCTTATGTTCAACAAGTTTTTCTTTTATCCCGAATACATGCTTATCCCGTCTCTACTAGATATTTTAAACCAAAAAATTCTCCTTTTTATGCTTCTGGTTCCTGTAATTGCTTGTCTTCCAACCCTTTTTCATGTACCTACAGATTTTGTTAATCGTCTTGGAGACATTCCTATTACAGCTGAGAGATGACCTACGCTGCAGTTGCTTCCCTGGTACAAACGCTGGAGTATCCGCTGCAATTTCCCTGTTTGGTTCTGGAAATGAAGAAGATGCAAGCGGAGGTTGTCACACAGGGATTCCGTCAATTCGTATTGTTCCTGAAAGGAGAACCCTTATCTTCGTGGATCATTGAAGAACATGGAACTCTCTCATCCAGCTTTGAAGAATTTCTTGGGGCAGTTGGTCCGCATGCTGACTTCTTGGAGGTCAAGAAAAGAACACTGTCCTTGAGCTGCGGAATACCAAAATTGCAGGAGCAAAAGCCACCAATTCTGACGGAAATTGGATCTTTGGAGCAAGACCTGAAGAAATTTCTGGAAACCACTGTCCTCGACATCGGGACAGATCTATGCAACTACGTTGTTCATCAAACTTCTCGTGAAACAGTAGCAAAAATGCTTCGGGTCGTGGATGAGCTCAAACAGGCCATAATCTTTTTCTATGAAGTTGCTTCTGAGATCACAATTCTCTTACCAGGATCTTTTCTCCTTGCTGAGTTATCTTGATGATTCTTCTGATAAATTCCAGGATCATGAATTGCTGAAATGCATCAAAGACGTTGCTTATAGAGCAAGAGATCTTGTTGAAGAACGTATCGTGGACAAACAAGTCGAGTCAGTAATGACGGATCTCATTTGCACTTTGTCCAAAAGCAAGTCACCAGCTAGACGCCTACCACTTAGATCTCTTGAAACAGTGGTCGAGAGTGTCTTCGATGGAAAGAAGGGCATTCGTGGAGGTTTAGTTCATGCATTACAGGATGTTCAATCTTTCAAGAGAAAGACTACAAATACAGATGAAAAGTGTCTAACATTGCAGGGATCAAGCATCAGGAAAGCACCACTTGGTTCGAATAGGGAGGATATTGTGGGAGGTCTTTTATTTACTAAAAAAGTTGGTGAGGTCATCATGTTACTGAAAATGGAAGGAGCCCCAACTTTGCCGGAACAATTAGTAGAAGAGATTCTACCTCTTGCACTGCCCGTTGGAGATTTTGTTCGAGGACCTAGGCAACGAACTATAAGGGCGAAACTTGAGTATACAATGGCTACTTGTTACAGAGGAAAATTATCAAATGAAGTGCCAGAATTAGTAGAATGAGCTCCAGCATTTGACGGTCAAAGTATCCCACAAAATTCAAGCACTTTGAAACAGAAGTTGCACAGTTCATATTTACGAAGATCAATTTCTCTTATATGAATTGTGTACCAGCTCAGGAGAAAAAAGGGGGGGAAAAAAAAAAAGAGAAAAAAGGGTCACTTACTTTTAACCTCAAAGAAAAAATGGAGAGATAGGTAAACTTGAATTATAATTTACACAAAAAATCGATACAAACGCAATTTACAGTAACTAATTCAAACTACTTGGAGTGGGTAATAGTTCTTGCCAAATTGTTCCTTTAGGAATGCAACCAACGCTGCTCCCTTAGCAGGGCCCGGTCCAGCTGTTCTAGGACTCCTAAATATTCAGCTTGTGTCACTAGCGAGGTCCCCTCAAAGAAAATTGAGAAGAAAAGAAATCAAAGACGAGACGTTTGGCACTTGGGGAGACTTGGCTGCTTCATCTTCGTTGACCACAAGTTCTCATCGCCGACTTTCTTCTAGCAATCGTGATGCCGATCATCAAAGTCCGTTCCTCCTCTGCTGCTGGTAAGCTGTAGCTTCTCTCTCGCATTCATAGTTGTCAGGCCCCGGTTTTTTTGCTTTCTCCAACATGTTAGTATGCTCTTTTATTTTTTATTTTTTCCGATTCATTCATATTTACTTATTTAGTATGCTCTTTCTCCTACAGTTTCTTTTGCTTTGTCCTAGATGTTAGTATGTTGTTATTTTATTTTCTTTTATATTTACTTATTGCAGTCAGGTTAAATCTTTGTTAATTTGCTATTGATTACATCGGGTAGGATTGACGGAGGGAAAGATGGCTTACGATGACGTTGTTTATCTGTTGGTGGAGGAGGTGGACGAGTTAGTTACTATCCTACGCAAAATACTGAATATCAAGGTATTGCAAGCCACGTTATTTATAGAAAAAGTTGTTGAGGTCATCAGAGTATTGGAAATGGAAGGACCCCCAACTTTGCCGGACCAATTAGTAGAAGATATTGCACCTCTTGCACTGCCTATAGGAGATTTTGCTCGGAGAACTAAGCCACAAATTACTTCACCGTCATATGATGAGTATAGGATGAATATTCGTGACGGCTGCTGGGAACAAATGCTATCAAGAGAAGTGCCAGAATTAGTAGAACAGATTGGTTTAAATGAGAATAAGCTGGAGAAATATCTTGATGAATCTGACTTCTACAACTCCTGGGAAGATTTGCGTCACAAGTCAGCCTTACTACCTTGTCGTGAGGCGGTGAGGGATCTGCTTCAGTCTTGTCGAGAACTCAAAGACGCCATGAACTTTTTCAGTGAAGTGGGGACCGAATCAGCTTTTCTCTGCCAACATCTAAAGTTCTTGCTGAGCTTTGCTGAGTTGTGCCAGCGTTCCAATGAATGGCGTTGCCGCCAATTTGTGAACGGCATCATGGATGTTGCTAACAAAGCTCTTGATGCGCTGGAATGTGCAGATAGAGATGGTCTTAGGTCACTGATGCGGGAATTTGAATCAAAGGGATATGCTTCAGCTGAGCTTCTAACGGAAAATTGTATTGAGGAGACGGCCAAGAAATTTTTTGATGGGAAAAATGGAAAGCGATTGGTTTTGTTGGAGACTTTAGAAATGCTTCATTCCTTCACGGAAGAGATTGATACTACTTGTGGGAAACTTGGCAGCGAAGATCGTCAATCGCATAACGCTTCATTTGGAAGAAATGGTTTTCCTTCACTGTCTGTGATTCGTGAGAAGTTTGCTAGAGGAGATCTTCCTTCACTGCCTATCACGTATTATCTACGTGCTTTTCCTTTAATTGAAGGAAGAAAAAGAGGGAGAGTTAGTGTTAGGTCTGGTATCAGACGACCTAACAAACAGGTTCATTATCAGCGTGCTTCTGGAGGAAAAAGAAGAAGAGTGTCTAATATCATACTAGAGCTGCAAATGAATCGAGTTGAATCGAGTTTTGGCCTAATCGAACCGAACATCGGCCTAGTTTTATCAAACTTGAACTCGAATTCGAGCTCGACGAGTTGCCAATCTAAATATCAAGTTCAAGGTCAAACTCTAGCTCTAATTCGAGCTCTTGAGCGCGAGCTCAAGCGAGAGCATGAGCGCGAGCGCGAGCTCGAGCTCGTGCTCGAGCGCGAGCTCGAGCTCGTGCAGCTCGAGCTGGAGCTGGCAATCCAGCTCGTGCAGCTTGAGCGCCAGCACCAGCGCAAGCTCCAGCTCGTGCTTGAGCTCGAGCTCGAGCGCCAGCGCCAGCTCGTGCTCGAGCTCAAGCTCGAGCGCCAACGCAAGCTCGCGCTGCTCGAGCCCCAACTCGAACTCGTGCTGCTCGAGCGCCAGCGCCAGTTCAAGCTCAAGTTCGAGCTCATTCGCCAGCGTGAGCACGTGCTCAAGCTCGAGCATGAGCACAAGCGCAAGGTAGCTCGAGTGCAAGCTAGCTCAAGCGCTTAAAAAAGACTTGAGTTTGATGTTGATCGAACTTGAGTCGAATTTTGACTCCAGCTGCTAATGAGTAGCTTAATTTTTTTGCCTCCTTAAACAAGATCTAACAAACAGGTTAATTATCTACGTGTTTTTCGAGGAAAAAGAAGAAGCGTTGTTAGTGTTAGTCTGGTACTAGACTGGTTAAGCGTCAAGTTCCGGCAATGATGACAAACTATGTTAATAGAACCAGAATGTATGTGGTATCGCTGCTGCTACCAAGAATGGAGAAATAGCTCGTGAAGAGTTTTGTGAAGAAGATAGAGCAAGATTACTATATTCACGGTATGGGTCCGTTGATCACCAAACCACTAAGAGAGCTTTTAATGAGTTATTTAGACCTTTGGGTCATTGAATAAATATTTTGAATTCTCTTGTGATTTAGTAATTGAATGCTTTTGGGTCTAGAAACACTTTTTATAGCTTTTATACTCTGTTTCATGGTGAAACTGTACTCTTTTGTCTCTGCTCTACTTTGTGGTAAAATTCTACTCCTCTTTCGTCATAAATCATGTAATCTGGTGTCTGTTCTCGTTGATCATAGTTTTCTAGAGAATGCAACTACATAAACAGCAATGCATTGCTCAGAACAGCTTTGTACTGTCCAAGAGATTAATCTTCCCCGATTTTCAATTGTTGAGGCATTGCCGGGTATTTAATTACCAACAGATACCTATGCAGATTCGTGCATGTTAAAAAGAATACATAGTTACTTTATTATGCATTTTCTAGGAAAGAAAGCGGTGTGCATTTAGAATAGGTACAAAAGTTATTTTAACCTTGGCGTACTGTCCTGATTCCTCATTGTAGTTTCTAGGTTTTTATATTATTTTTTCTTTTGGTAAAATAGTTTCAAGATACTTGCTGCAAAATGTCCGTGTGATATCCTAATGCAAATGAATCACCTTGTTAAATTTTGTTTCTAAAAGAAAACAGAAGTGCTTTATGAAGGACACTTTAGAATGCATATATTCGCAGTAGCAGTAAAGAATTTTCTATTTGAATTCCATGTTAGCTTGAATCCTCAACCTAGGTAACCATTCCTGTGCGTCTCTTTGATGCGGGTTTTGGTTCCCTAGGTTTGCATCAGAATTTGGTAATAATATACGAGGATGTTAAAAACTTTCGTGGTCGTATAAACATAGCCTTTCTTGGCCAAGTTTCAGTCTCCGGATGCAAGCCTAGAAGGGGGCACCATCTTACAGGATCTTGATCTTCTAGGCCAAACCTTGATAAACTATGTGTGAACGTGGGAACACAATGCAAGAGAAAATTTATTTAACTAATTTCATTCGTGATTGGGTAGTTTTGTGGTAATCTAATTGTTAGAGAACCAATTTTCAAAGCGAAGCTTACCAACGTTGTTATTGTTGTTAATCTTGGCTTAGATTTCCATTTCTGTCTTCCATCAAATTCACTGAAGCCAAATTCATTGAATGCGTTAATTGTTTATTTTATTGTCTTCAAAAATGGATGAGAAACGAGTGCCGATTAAGTGTTTGATGTCTATATGCCCATTTGATCATCAAGCTCAGGTTAAGTGTTTGATGTCTCTGCTGTTTTGCCAATTGACCAGACAGGCCTATAGACAGCAAGTCAATTATTCCTAAAAGATCCAACCCCCGCCACTGCCAAGCAGTATTGCTTCTACACCATCCAAATAAAACAAAGAAAAAACCATCAAAATAAAGTCGACAAAATTTATGCAATCCTTGTAGTGCTCCTTTGATCTGATGAGAAATCACATGTAGAATCAGTAGAATGTAAAAGTTGCAACTTCCTCGATTATGTAGGGGAGGAGCCACTGGGCCCTGATAGGCTGGTACAGAATATCGTAAGTTCAATTCTGGAGCAATCTCTTCCTAAAATTTTGGGGGATATTTTGCTATTTCTTTAGTTGGTGCTATGGTATCTAACTCATCTGTTTCATGTCTAATGAGCTAGGAGATTCCATTGTTCTGGGATGCAGAATTTTCATTATTATCCGGTATACTCATGGTGGCAAATCGCATAAAAGATCAGTTTGGTTGCATCTTGAACCCATTCCAGATTTTAGGAGGAGTATCCCCAAAATCCAAGCTCTTTTCGGCTAGAACCATGGTCAGGAAATATGACGATCAGAAAGTTTTGCATAAAACATATCTAAGCAGCATAAAACTACTATACTAAGTAGTAATTGATCAAGGGGCAAGAAGGCAAAGCTAAGAGAGCCTACTATCTTTTGACTTAGTACGCAATTACTAAGTTCTGAATCCGAGAGATCTGAGCCTGTAGAATAAGTTGTGGAAGAGGAGAATCCACAGGAAATCACCGGGATGGGAGGACTAGGGAAAATCAATATTTGATCGCTCAAAACAAAAAATGACCAAAGATAATGTACTGAAAGTGGTAAAAAAAAAAAGCTAAGGAAACAGTATATTATCATTAATTTTCACCTTCCTTTCTAGTTAATTTTACGAATGTAATTATTAATTGAATTTTAATTTGACAAAATTTAAAAATGTAAGGTGTAAAATGTTCAAAATTAAGCGCTTAGAGTGTAAAATGAGAAAGTAGTACTAGTTTAGAGGGATAAAATAAGAGTACACACCTCCCTTTCGTCTACGGACAGCGCCCACCAACAATGGGAAAAATGTGAGAAGTTGACAATGGTGCCGACTTTCAGCATGTCCTGTGGTACTTGGTTTCTCTTTTGACCAGATACAAGTAGATGCGGAGTGCAAATTTCTGATTTTTCTCCTTCCACTAAGGTGAGTGAGGTCCTGATGTGGTACTTAGTTTCTCTTTTGATCATGAATTCCGCGGTGATCACCAAGTGGTGAAAAGTTTAAGAGATCTCGCTAACAAGGCCGGAGATATTGTTGATGATTATCTGTTTGATAATCCAATGAAGTCAAAGATCATTGAATTCAAACATGTAACACTCGGTGATCAAAGAGAATCACTGATAGGGATTCATTACGTCCGGAAAGTAGTTAGGAAATTCTTTGATGGAGAGAGTGGGGTTTGTCAAGGTTTGTTGCAGACACTGCAGCTGGCTCGTTCAGTTAGACAAATGATGAGGAAGATGTATGATAAAAGAGCTGGTGGCAAGGAATATTTGCAGTCAGGAAATGCTTCACTCAGGGGCTCATTACAGCACGATTCAAATAAGCAACATATTGTGGTTGGCCTTGATGACTACTCGGGTAGAATGCTGGACCAAATTACTGGATTTCCATCTAGACTAGAAATCGTCACGATTGTTGGGATGGGTGGCATCGGTAAAACAACACTTGCCAAAAACATCTTTGATCATCCTTACACCATTTATCACTACTATTGTCGTGCATGGGTTGCAGTGTCCCAAGTTTATCAAGTGAGGGATTTGTTATTAGGCATTTTGAGCTCTGTTGGTCAACTCAATGCTGAAACCTATTCAAAAACCAATGACCAATTAGCTGAGGTCTTGTATAGAAGTTTGAAGGGCAGGAGATATTTAATTGTCATGGATGATATGTGGAGTGCTAAGGCTTGGGATGATGTCAAAAGATCTTTTCCAAATGATAAAAATGGAAGTCGAGTAATAGTAACTACTCGGTTTAACGGATGTGGCTATCTATGTCAATCCGAAAACGCCTCCTCATTTTATGAGCCTGCTAAGCATAGAAGAAAGCTCGAAATTAATGGAAAATATATTGTTTGGAGTGGAAGGTTGTCCTCCGGAGTTGGTAGATGTTGGAAAATATATAGCCAAAAGGTGCCAAGGCCTGCCACTTTCTATTGTTGTTGTAGCTGGTCTTCTTTGCAGTATCACGAGAACACTTGATTCCTGTAGGGCTATAGCAAGCAGCATTAGTTCATTCCTACGCACTGACGCCGAACATTGTCTAGAAATGCTTGCTTTAAGTTACAACCACCTACCCCCTTACTTGAAAGTCTGCTTCCTGTATATGGGGGCTTTCCCTGAAGATTGTGAAATTGAAGTGCAAAAATTGATCCATTTATGGATAGCCGAGGGCTTCTTGGATCCAAAAGTTCTTGAACATCCAGAAGCAGTGGCTGTGGATTACTTGGAAGACCTCATTCGCAGAAGCTTAGTTTTGGTTGGAAAAAGGAGTTTTGATGGCAAAATCAAAACATGCCTCCTCCATGATCTTTTGTGGGAACTGTGCTTAAGAGAAGCTCAGAAAGAAAACTTCTTATCTGTGATAAAAGGTTTTTCTGCAGGTATAGCTGATCAGCGCCGTCTCAGTCTCCACAAGGACTCTTATCTTGATGTTCACTTGGCACCCGAAATGGCATATGTCAGATCATTTCTGTATTTTGATGTGGGTTCTGGCTTCGAACCAGACATCTTATTCTTCCAGTTGGGCTTTAAATTGCTAAAAGTATTGGATGTGATTTTTCTGCGATTTGAAACTTTCCCTGTTCAAATACTAGAACTGGTTCATTTGAGTTACCTTGGACTGATGGTCACTTTTGAGCTTCCCAAAATGTTATCTAGACTCAAGAATCTGCAAACACTAGTGATTCATGGTCCCTGGACTAGCACAGATTATGCTGAGTCCCCAAATCTGTTGTTTGAATATTGGAGTATGCCAAAGTTAAGGCATCTCTATATTACTGTTGCTTGCTGTTTAAGAAGTCCTTCTGTCAAAATGGATATTAGTTTATGGCCATTCACTTCAAAATGCATCCAAGTTGTGTCCGGAATTAGATTTGCAAGCTGCACCAGGGAAGTTTTCATCAGCATGCCTTCTCTAAGGATGTTAGGATTGTCTGAAACCAAGGAAGACTATGAGATGGATTGGTCAGCCAAATGCCTAAAAGAGCTTTTCTATTTGCAAGAACTTTGAACTTTTGAAGCTATGCTTCTACAGGGAAAGTACAAAAATACGGAGAATCTTGATGCTTTGCCATCTAATCTCAGGAAATTGACCATAAGTTGGAGCTATCAACCATGGCAGAATATGACCTCCATTGCCTCGTTAGTTGTTACCCAAACTGGAGGTGCTCAAACTGAAAAATTATGCTTTCCAAGGGCCAAAGTGGGAACCAACTGAAGGGGGCTTTCGTGTTTTGAAGCACTTGCTGGTTGAGAAGACTGATCCAGTGTCATGGGAGGCCACAAGCAATCACTTTCCATGTCTTGAGCATCTAGTTCTCAAGTCTTGCAAGTACCTGAAAGAGGTTCCCTACGGTATTACAGAAATTTCTACCCTGAAGCGGATAGAGTCATGGTTGGCCGTCGCGGGTCGCGGTCGCGGTTGTTCCACATCTGTCACGGTATATCGATTAAATATCGGGTGATACGCGAGTTAAAGTATATAAAACTTTCAAAAATTCTAAAAAAAATTATTAAAAATAAAAAATAATATAAGCAATACAACTATCAAATTAAATTTGATAAAAAAACCTAAGTTAACATAGATACCATGTAAGTCTTTAAAAAAAATGACGTAGTTCTAATTAATAAACAAAAGATGTTGAAAAAAATCCAGTTCATTTGTTGTTAACTAATCCAATTTAATATTTGTTGGACTATTCTAATCTCTTGTTCCTTTGGTGTTAGGGGGGTTGAAATGTTGAATGAATGGAAACGTGAATGCATTCAAAAAACAGAGGAATGAAGTTTTAGGTATCCCCCTTTGACCAAGAAATGTTTGTTCGGGTTAGAGAGAAAGTTGGAAAGGACGTGAGATAGAATCTAGTGGCCTTTGAGCTGTAATTTAGCTGTAATTTTTTCTTTTTCTTTTTTTTTTTGTTGGGTGTTTATCTCTCTCTCTCTCCTCACTCCATTCTATCCCCTCACATTCCCACGTACACAACCCACACTGCCTCCCATAATCCTTAGAAAACGTTTCCATTCCACCGCCTTCCCCACTTTATTTCTCTGTCTCTCTCTTCTCAAGCTCCACCACTAGGGATGTAATCAAGCCGAGTCGAGCTCGAGTATCGCTATACTCGAGCTCGACTCGACTCATATACACAGAAGCTCGAGCTCGACTCGAGCTCGATCGAGTCTAAAAAATGGATACTCGAAGCTCGACTCGAAGAATTTCCTTTAGGCTCGAGACTCGACTCGATAAGGCTCGACCTTTAGTCAAGCCTTATCGAGTCGAGTCTTATCAAGCTTTTTGACTCGATTTGACAAAAAATGAGATCAAAGGTGACGTTTTGGGAAGATTCAAAGGCAAGCTGGATTGCTTGACATGAAACTTTCAAATTCAGCAATTACCCACCAACGGTAGGTGCCCACAAGAGCAGCAAAAAATGGATGATTCTAATTCCTCGGATCATAGTTCCTAAGTGTGCTGCAAAAGTTCCCAAACTAACCAAAATTCCCCACAAAATTCCAAAACTCAGCAAAACATGAGCCGAGCCACCAAATTGAGAGACAAACAATTATCTCAAACAGCCACAATATCCCAACTACCACAAGCTCAATTCAGAAACCAATGCCAAGATCTATCCAGAAATTCCTTTTCCCCACAAATATCACTAATTACTAACTAAAGAAAGCTGCTTTAAACAAGAACATGTCAGAAAAATATGTTCTTGGTTCAGAAATGGACCATAGTCCAGCAGAATTACAAGTGTTTGAACAGGATATAGAAGAATGAAGTTGAAAACTCTTGTCACTAACCTGACCCAGCAAAGATGACCTCAATACCACCATTAAAATGCAATCCCAGAGGCTGGAGCCTTTTACAGCAAATTGCAACAGCTCTTTCCAGGCTGTTGATTAGGCTGTCATTTTAAACAGAGGAAAGAGCAAAAGAATTGGACCCACAAGCAAAACCTCTGAACCTTATACCACACATGACACACTCAAAAAACAAGTTTTCTAGACATTTATCCTACACATTAGCGTGTCATTAACCAGCGGCCAGCCTGCTCACACAATAGTCATACATTCGGCAAATGAAAGAAAAAGGCTTTAAAATATAAACATACTCCACAATACATAATAAGTTACGTCTCATAAATTAACAAGGTCCAAATTATGAGCTAATCTAGATTTAGAAACATAAATCTTCAAAGCTTTGGCAAGTCGAATTCTTTGATTGTCTTGGCTTCCTACAAAAAGCATAGAGGTAAAAACACAAAAAAAGTTACATAACTTCCCAAAAGAATAAATTAACTTATACTCAATAACTCAAATATAGAAGTTTGGTAGTAAAACAATAAAGCTGACCTTCATCTTCTTTTTGACGCCGTGAAGATTCCTACACCAATCTCCTGCGCACATCAATACTTGAACTATCTCGGGGTGAAGTGCTGCTCGATAGGTGTCAATTACTCTAGTTCCGGCACTAAAAGTGGCCTCCGATGCAACTGTAGTTATCAGAATGGCCAATATATCGCTAGCCATTCGAGAAAGTATTGGATATGAGATTCGATTTATTTTCCACCACCCCAAACAATCAAATTCATCGAGATCTTCTCCAATCTTTTGGCGAGGCTTGTCTAAATAATCAACCAATTCTGACTTATGAGGTTCGCTAGTCTCGACTTCATCACAATATTGATCAAAATCACCCCATCTAGTCTTCTTGGTCGCATTTGTTCCTTGCCTTTGGGAAGAGCTAGAAGCCATTGGCCCTCCTGTTGTTGGATTCGCCGCTAGAGCAACATACTCATCATATAACTCAAAGAGCACTCGGCGAATGGTGGAAATGTTATGAGAAGCCTCTGAAGGTAGATACATTTGAGGGTAGGTGAAGTCCACAACCCTCATTTTCTGTCATGGATCTAAAATGGCAGCCACGGCCAATATCAAATTACATTCACCCCAATACTTGTCAAACTTAGTTTTCATCCTTCGAACCATGGCCCGAATGAAGGGGTCTTCATCATTGACTCGAGCATCCAGCACTTTTTTTATCTTCACCAACTCTTGAAGGAAAAGATTGCTCGTAGGATAATCTGAACTAGAAATTATATGTGTGCACTCCCAAAATTTTTCCAAGACCGAACAAACCTTTTCAGCTTTTTTCCAATCCTCAGCAGATGGGCAAAAATCGTAACTTTGCTCTCTATCTTGGAAACGGGGAAAAACATCCTTAAATTTGATGGCACAATTCAGCATCTCAAATGTGGCATTCCATCTTGTCTTACAATCGTAAAGCAACTTTTTTCCTGGTATATGGAGTTGTTGCGCAATTTCAGCAAACATCAATGCACGCCCCTCTGATCGATTCACAAATTCCACGGAATCCCTAATGGCTTTGGTGATGTCCACAATCTCAGAAATGCCATCTTGAACTACAAGGTTCAAGATGTGTGCACAGCATCGAACATGGAACAATTTTCCATCACAAAGAAGCTTTTTGGACCTGGAGATGTCATCTTTTAACATTCTAACAGCTACATCATTGTTCGAGGCATTATCAACTGATATGCTGTAAATTTTGTGCTCAATGCCCCACTCTTTTGCACTTTTAAAAATTGAAGATGCTATCTCAACTCCTCGGTGAGGCGGTGGTATATGTACAAAACTCAAGACTCGCTTTTGTAGTTTCCAATCAGAATCAATCCAATGCCCGGTGATGACCATGTACTAGATCTTTTGATTTTTTGACTTCCAAAGATCGTTTGTGATGCTCACTCTTTCCACATTTTTCAACTTGTTCCTCAACTTATTTTTTTCAAGCTCATATACTTGCATACAATCATTTTTTGCTGTTGCTCGAGAGATTTTCTTCCACTCTGGCACCGCTCGTTTCATCATAAGATTGAAGCCTTCTTCTTCTAATATGGTGAATGGATGCTCATGCATTAGCACCCAATGTGCAGCTGCCTCTCTAACTTTCTCCATGTCAAACTTTCCGCTCAAGGGTGGCAAAGTCGGAAAAGAATCATCAGCTGGCTGGAAATTTAATTTTGTTTGCTGCTCAGCCTTTCTAATGCTTGCTTTTCGGGCTGAACATCTATTCCGATGTCTCCACATGCTACTTGTTTGCTTTGACTTGCCTCTTGACAGTTTTTTCTTGCAATGCTTGCAAATGGCATAATTCAATCCATTTTCCTCAACTTCGTCAAAATCATCCCAAGCCTCAGATGTTTTATTTCTTTTAGGGATCTGGAATTCATCTTCAGCTTCAGTCACTTCCCGCGTGTCTCCTCCTATTTGACCAGTTGGTTCTTCTTCTTCTTCTTCTTGTTCTTCAAGAGCAAATACTTGAACTCCAGCTGTTGTTGTATCATTACTTATGAAAACAGGGGTATCCAACGTGAATGGAGTAGTTGAATCATGAGCAGATGATCGCGGGATAGAAGATACCTCGGGAGGACTAATTGTCATACCTACAATTTACCCATAAAGTGAATATAAACATTCATTAGTACCAGCATATCACCTCAAAAAAACTGCCCAACATATTATACATTTAGCTTACCAACTCCTTCGGCATTGCCTTCTAATCTTGAGCAACTCGTTGAATGTCTAGTGCCACTTTGCATTTTCTTGACAAAGATTCTGCCCGACTGGATTCAGAAGACATGAAGGTAGTAAGACATCCAAAACAGCAAAGTGTGGTCTAAGAAGGAGCAGAAAAAGAAAAAGAATAAGCATGTGAGGCTGCTCAAATCCGAATTTGGGCAAATTCATCACACCTAGTTGGTCAAATCATAACACAAAGGATTTTGAAGTCAGTCTTAGCTATATTTTTGCACACCATTATCCTAAGTCTGATTTTTTTAAGAGCACAAATTCAAATTATTTACATAAATATTGCACGATTCCTAAATCTGCATCCGGTATTTGGCGTTTGTTGAGCGCCCACAGAATTGAAGTACTTAGAAATCCGCAGATGCCTCATATGACGCATACTATTACTAGCAAATGGTGTCCATTATCCAGTAAAAGGAAAAAGAAAAGCCAAAGAGATATAGCGTCCTCACTCCTCAGGCTCTACATCCCAACTGTCTTCATTAAAATTGTGTAAAACGTCTACATAACTTCTCAGCTCCAAGCTTTAATAGATGAAGAGGTGTAAAAATTAATAATGGAACTTAATAGGATTTATCAGCTCAGCCACAGTAGGGTAATAAAATCTATACTGCGTAGTTGTAATTTGTAAAATAACTAGAAGCTACTACAAATTAATGAGTTCAAATAGTTACAAAAATTCTGATTTGCAATTTGCCCACCTTCAAGATCTGTGGGAGTTCACATACTCCGCTTGGAAGAGGACTGCAACAAGGACACAGAATCCTAAGACATTTTTCTACATACAGCACAATATTGAATTCAAAAACTGTTGCTTGTTAGATATGGCGCTAATTGAACTAAGCTTGACAATGACTAATCAAGAAGCCCTGATCCGGACTCCATCAGAAGGTTTTCATTTTTCTTCGATTTTAGTATTTTTTTAGTTCATCAGTAGGTTGTTTGATAGAAGTTGTGAAGCATCGAGGCATAATCCAAGAAAGTTCGACAAAGCAAATCATCAAGCAAAAGATACCAGAAGAGCTGCGGTGAAAATTACCAAGACACCAACTTTAACATTAGAGCAGAGGCAGACATACCAGAATCTGGTTACCAGATGCGATGGCGATGGCGATGGAGTCTCACAGTCAGTGGTTGCCGGCTGGTAAAGTGAAATTTTTGGCGAGGCTTTCTTCGAACAGAGAAGAAAGTCGAACAGAGAAGGAAGAAAGTCTTTTCTTTCTTTTTTTTTTAGACATTTTTTCTTTTTAATGTGTTATTACTTTTTTGCCATTATAGGATTTTATTATAAAGAAAGGTATATTGTAAATTCCATATAACTTATACCCATAACGGTCATTTTATAATTATAATAAATATATATTATTTAAATTATAAATATTTTATTTAAATAACTCCGGCTCGTCGAGCTACTCGACGAGCCTCAAGCCGGGAAAATGTGACTCGAAACTCGACTCGATTTGTAATCGAGCTATTCGAAACTCGACTCGAACTCGGTCAACCCGAGTTCGAGCCGAGTTGTTGACCGAGCTACTCGCGAGCTACTCGCGAGTAGCTCGGCTCGCGTACATCCCTATCCACCACCATTACCAGTTTACCACCACCCACAAAAATCTCCAAAACCCCGAATCCCATAAAATATTTACAGATTCATCTTTCCACCGCCTCCCCCCCCTTTATTTCTCTCTGTCTCTCTCTTCTCAAGCTCCACCACCATTACCAGTTTACCACCACCTACAAAAATTTCCAAAACCCCGAATCCCACAAAATTTTTACAGATTCATCTTACTTCCAAATTTGCTCCAATTCTTCTTGTTGTACTCCCAATCTGAAGATTATGATCAATCCCAATGAAATTACGAGTCTTACAATCACAACCCTCAAGAAACCTCAACTAATTATGATGGGTTGCACTAGCAGAAGTGATGGAATGAGGATGGCAACCGGTGGGAGAAAGAAGAAATCATGTGGGTGATTTTGTTGTCTGACTCGCGAGTTGACTCGGCCAAACTCGGTAAGTTTTACTGATTTCTTATTGATTTGAGTTGACTCGGTAAATATCGACCGAGTCAATCCGAGTCAACTCGGATTCCGGTGAAACGGCGATGCGGGTGTCGGTATCGTACCGGTGAGCCCCGTTCCGGTTATGACTCGGCCGAGTCCGAGTTGACTCGGCCGATTTGGCGAACCATGGATAGAGTTGCACAACTGTAGTGAATCTGCAAAAATTTCTGCTACAAGTATTGAAGTTGAAAGCCTTGATGTTGTCATCAAAAGCGATAGGCAAGTCTTTATTTGCATTTAGAATCACTTTGATTGAAACTTGAAGTTTATGAAGTTTATATTGACGCACCATTCCTGCACTTGCATTTCCTGACATTGTATGGATTGCCTGTGTCTGTGATGCCTCCAAAATCATGTCACAGATTTCAGCACTCAGCATAAAGGGAAGCTTTGAGCTGCGGCTTGCAATTTCAATTTCCCAACTGATCTGGAATTGCTTCTTGTCATCCATCTTGCTGAGGCTATTTGTAAATGCTGCATAAGAGAGTGGAAGGCCAGCCCCTGCCCCATCGGATGAAAGCGTTTCAAGGTCTTGGCATGTACCTCATTTATTTTATCTTGAAATTGATCTGAGATTTTCTCCTAGTCCTAGGTAATGATTGAGCAGGTAGCTACTAATACATCTTGTTGAATGTGAATGGACAAGAATCAAATGAATCCCATTTGGTTCGGAATGCTTATATTTTTGACATTGAATAAACACTATCCCTTAGTTCTTGTGGTACCTCCCAAGTGAACTGATATCAATTTTTACTTGTTTTATTACTCATCTTGATGTGTTTGAAGTAATCATCTACTGCATGTAAACAAAAATTCGTCAAACTCTCTCAATGTTCGCAAGATTGCTTGTTCCCTTGCAGGATATCTTTTAATCTTTTATAGGGTTTTACATAAAAAAGTTAATATGTTCGTTTAACATCACCTCCTCTGTCTCCTGATCTTTTGTGTCAGTAATATACACTATTTAAAGCTGTTTGATTTTGAGAAACAGGTTAAAAATGGTTTAGCATTACTTATTTCTGTTGTCAATATTCATTCCACGAGGTCAGTCCCAGAAAAGCGAGCAGGCATTTCGGTTTCAGCTCCTATTACAATGCCCAGTGCATCAGCAACCAAAACACATCAACTAACATTTGATTAGTTTGAGTTTGGGGTTTTGCAAAAAAGGCACTACTACCAAAACTAAAAGATGTTTTGTAGCATTATTTATCGTGGGTACACAATTTCATATTATTTTCTTGGATTGTATCAAGAGTACAATAGATAAGTTGGACATTTATTTATTTCTTATATATATATATTTTGACTATGATAAGTATTTTGGGACAAACAAAAATCATATAAAAGGGGACATAGGGAGTATTATTTGGACTTCGATCTTCCCATGTGTCTTGGTTGGTGAATGCGATCATTACTTGAGCAAACAGTTTAATCTACAGCGTAATGCACCATGGGGCTTGTTCTTGTCTGATGATTTCACTTGATTACTCTCAGTTCTTTAATGTTTTTGTTTGTGTTTATATCTAGATATTAGATTTCTTTTTATTAGCCAGAAAAAATAAAAGTCCATACTCTACCAAGGAGGGAATAGTTTTAGCTAATTCCATTTATTCTTTTTTTACAATCACTTTCCATAATCAACTCATGTAATTTCTAAATTGCAGAGTGAGTGTCCAGATGAATTGGTTAAAGTTATCAAGGAAGTTGTGAATAAAGCACTCGATGCTGTAAACCGTCCAAAGGAAGATCGTCTTGTCTCATGGTTTCTTAAACTTGAACATGAATTACTAGGTTATTCTACGAGATCAAGAAATGCCGAGAAAAATTCCATTGACGAGATGGCCAAGAAGTTTTTTGATGGGAAGAATGGCTTGCGCTTGGTTTTGTTGGAGACGTTAGAAAAGCTTCGTTCCTTCACGGGAGAGATTGATATGATCTGCGAGAAACTTGGTAGAGAAGATCTTCAATCGCAGAATGCTTCGTTTAGCATTTCACAGCCTATGACGTATTGTCCTCCTTATTTTCCTTTATCGAAAGGAAGA